AACAACAACAACAACAACAACAACAACAACAACAACAACAACAACAATACCAACAACCACAACCACAACTACAACTACAACACCTACGACCACCGCAACAACAACCGCAACAACAACCACCACCACCACCACAACAACCACTATACCCTTACCACTACCACAACCACAACAGCCACCGCCGCAACAACTGCAACAACAACAACCACCACAACCACAAACATAACAACAACGACAACCACAACGATAAGCACAATCACAAACACAACCACAACAACAACAACCACATAAACAACCGCCATCACCACAACAACAACAACCACAACACCCACGACACCAACAGCAACCACAGCAGGACTAACGCGATCCTAACCCACTACATCCACCACAACCACAACACCGACCCGCATCACCCTTCTCTTTCTTTCCCTTCCCCCTCCCCTTTGGTTGGGCCCCTGGTCGGCTGTCGGGCGTAACGGCCGCAGGCCCTTTGCCGCTCGGCGAATACCTAGGCGAATACCTTTGGCAAATACCTTCGCCAGATTTTCTTATGGTTTTCCCCGTTTGTTTCTTATGGTGTGTGTACGTGTGCATGCTACTGAGTTTTTGGAGGAAAAACGGCTCAAGTTGAAGAACTCTTGGCGCAAGTTGCCCCTTATTTGCCTTTATCAAGGCAATGTGTATTTATCATGGTATGGTGCCCACTTAGCAAGCCACTGGAGCGTGAAAACGCGTGAGGAAAATCCATTTGTACTAGTTCCAGGTCTGTCTGGTACAAATGAGCCTATGTACCAGTTCAACTGGTACAAATGCATGTCTAGGAAGATGTCCTGTATGTAGTAAGAACCGTACTGTCTGTAACTTGTTAGTCTCTATCCCTTCTATGCCAACATCGGTCGTGTGGGTCTGTCGTTGCGCTTCACCTCTTGAACCGACCGGGCGGGTGCCCCAAAACTGTCCTCCGCCCACGTCGGCGACACGTGTCCGCCGATTTTCGTTGCCAGTGTTCATGTCTGCAGTCTGAAGCGGACACTATTCATTGTCACCCATTGAAACCATTTCCGGCGGCCGGATCGCGTACCGCATGGTCACTTCTTGGAAAAACTCGGACATCGTAGCCATTTTCTTCGTCAGACTTAAACTTGGAACCAGTCTGTAGCGGCGTGTCCGACCCACTCACAACCAACTCTCAGCGGTCGGGGGCCTGCGCGTGCAAAATCGGGTCCCCCCACGCGACTGCGTCGATGGAGACCTGTCGCGTCAAGTCATTGCGCAATGGAGCTGGAACATCTGAAGCCCCTTGAAAGGGTGCGATGCACATGTGTGGCCATGTTGCCGTTGCCGCTGGAAAGCATGATTACCGACAGACTGTGGAGAAACTTGCCGCAAGAAACATGCGTGATTGAAAGTGGCATCAACAAGTCCCTGGCCCTTCCACGGCGACCCTTTTGGAGCCTTGCAAAAGAGACGTCCGATGGGTTCCCCGGCTTGCGCCGCTGGGATCGGCTGGAAGGGGTTGGCAGGGCACGCGTCCGCGAAGGCGCGGCAAGCCCGCCGTTAGGGCAACAAGTGCTGGGTGCAACTGTGGCACCATGTCCGTCGGAGCGGCCGCACCGCTGCCGCATGCCGCTGCGACGCCGCCTCTTCGGCGTGCCCTCCGCGCCCGCCTGGTCGCTTGCCATGAACAGAGCGAGGGTTCCTCTTCTTACATTTTGAGCTGCCAGGCTTTCGTACGGGTCACACAATCCGACGGCTGCATCCCCCAAGACCATTTCCTTTACTACCTGCCGGCCACCCACTTTCCCGTGGCTGCGCTACGCGCTGTCTCTTGGGCTGCGCGACGCGCTGACCCTCAGCGACGATGTTCCTGTCCCTCGCCGTGCTCACCCATGTCTGCCTCCATGCAGGAGGTGTCCAATACTCTCGGATTCCGGAGACGCATGTCCTCGTCCGTGACCGTGTTCGCAGCCGCCTGGCGGTGGGGAAGCCCCGCAAAATGAGTTCACCATGATGCCACCTGCAGCCACGGCAGGTTCAAGCAGTGTTCGATAAACATGCTCAACAAACCACCTGGAGCTCGGACAATGTTCCATAACCTTGCTAAACATGCCTGGGGTCTTGCGTTGGCTCTCTTGAAAATAGTTCTTCCTCACAGGACTCGGCTGGATGGTTATGTCCTTCTGTCAGGCTGCACTGCTGCGCATGCGCTTCCCAGTGTCACGCACAACGGCAGGAAAGGCTGCAGCGACGCATGGGGTCGTCTGACTCTCGCTCCTGCGCTACGCGCTGTGCTGCCACCACCACCATACTTCCCCAAAACGGCAACGAGAACGACAACGACCACAAACACAACCACAACCACGGCCACCACAACCACAACAACCACACCGACCGCCACAAGGACACCACCACCACCACCACCACCACAACAACAACAACAACAGCAGCAGCAGCAGCAGCAGCAGCCACAGCCACAACCACAACCACAACCACGACAACAACCACACCAACCACAACCACAACCACAACAACCCCAACCACAACCATAAACACAAACACAACAGCAACAACAGCAACAACGACAACGACATGTTGAGCCATCTTGGGGCTATGTGTTGCCATTTTGGGGGCTTGTACTGGGGCTTGTTGGCCCTATGTAGGCCCGTCTCGGGACTATCCTCCGCCATCTTGGGGCTGTCTTGGGGCCATCTTGTGTTATCTTGGGGCTGCATTGAGGCTGAGTTGGTTATGTATGCCCAGTCCTGGCCCCCGTCTGACTCAGGGAGGCATACTCCTTTTTTGCCTGCTGGCCCGCTGGTGGGCGTCAGCCCCTTAAATAAATAAAAAGGCTCCTTTCTTTTAGCCTCTTAACAAAGTACGCAGCTACTGAAGTAAGGGCTGGACGCTTTCCTAGTAGGCTTACGTAACTGGACGCAGGATAGCTCACGCTATTTCCGAAAACGAGTCCTACTTCGACCGCAAGTCCTCCAAGTCTTGTCCAGAAAGTGCTGTGCGAGCCATGGAATTGAATAGGCCTGGAATTGAGATGAGGCTGAGTATTGATCAGAAAGACCTCTTTCTCGTTTTTGTTTTTTCTTTTATCGCCTTTCTTGTATGTTTTTCTCTAGATCTAGTTCTTTGTTCTGTTTCGTTTCTTTTGACAGTGTTTGTTCTTTAGACCTGTTTAGTTGTTTTTATCTATTGTCTAACAGTTTTTGGAATTACGTGTTTTTCTTTTGTCACGCACTCCTCACTGTTTCTTCTTTAGACCATGATTCCTCTTCTTGTCTGTAGACCTTTGTTCTCTCTCTTTGTTATTTAGACCTTTTTTAAAGACCAGTTGTGTCTTTAGACCACAAAACTTCCTCACAAAACGTTGTACTGCTCAGTTGCACTCCTCAGCTGTACCAATGTCGGTCAAGGAAGGATCCTCAGCTAGCCACCACTTTACCAACCACAAGTGTTTGAAGCGAGGCCAGATACATGCAAAAAAACAAGTTCGTACGCACTTAACGCAGCCTGCTACGGTTTTACTATTGTGTCATCACCCCTACTAGTGCCCGCCCCTACAGCGCTGATCTGTGGTACCGCTGCGTACGTATTGTTCAAGTGCTCTTCAGTTCGAAGTAAAACGAGTTCGTATGCCAAGTTTGGTTCAAAAACAGGCGGGCCTCAGGGGTGACTAGCTATGTTTTGGAAGCTAGGTGAGACAGAAACGCCGAGCAATACACACATGGAAACTGGAAATTGAATAAGGAAAGGAAGGAATAGGACATAAAGAGTAAGGATAAGAAAGGTCCAAAAATAAAGTCAAAATAGACACAACCAAACCCCAAACAATAGCCGGCTTTGGGAAGCAGCGTCAAACAACCGCTCAAGAGCGAAACACATAGAATGAAATTCCTATGTTTGCTTGCTAGAGCCTTGAGTGAAGCCGTGAGCGGCACATTTACTGCGACCAGCAGAACAAACTGCACAAATGGATATATCTGGCCTGTAAGGGGCCCTGCAAGGAGCCCCTAGAAACGCCTTTGTGCGCTTTAAGTTCGTTCCCAAAGTCACAACTACGTCGCAAATTGGATAAAATTGACCAAAATTAAAATATGCAAAATGCGACGTAGCCAGGAGAAGCTCCAACCTTCAAAGGCCTGGGGTGCCAGGCCAACAGCCTTGCCATGTGCCTCGGTCCGAAGCTTCAATCCAGAATAGTGTGAGCACTATCCTGCGTCCAGTAGCGGCTAGCCCAAGTAGACCGTAGACCTCTTAATAAAGCAAGGGTCAGGTGAGGGCCAGAAACTCCAAACAGTGTTTTGAGGTCTAGAGATGTAGAAGAGGTTTGGGTTCCAAAGAGATCTAGAGGTCTAAAGATCCAAAGGGATCTGGATGTCTAGCTCTAGAGTTGTAAAGGTCTTCAAGCTGTAAAGGTCTCAAGGTCTAGAGAGGTCTGGACGGGTAGGGATCAAGAGGTCTTGAGATCAAAGATCTAAAAGTCTAAAGTTCGAGGTATGAAACCTCTAATAATCTAGAATTTCAGGTCTAAGAGATCTAGAAGTCTTGTGATCCAGACATATCTAGTTCCAAAAGGATCCAAAAGGTCTAAAGATCTAGAAATCTAGAGATCCAGAGGTGTAGAGGTCTTGACAGATCCTATACAAGATCTAGCCAGAGGTCTTGAGAAATCTAGGTCTAGAGGCCTAGAAGGGTTAGAGGTCTAGAGTTTGAATGGTCTGGAGGTCTAGTCTAGATTGAGATCCGGAGAGATTTAGAGGTGCGAATATCAAGAGTTCTGGGTATGAGGCCTGAAATCTATAGAGGTCTCAACCTCTGGATGGGCAGAAATGTCTAGAGATCTGCAGGCTTGGGCGTCTGGAGAGCACACATGCGAGACCACACATATTGGTGCACATTTGCTCACAGAATATGCACTTCCAAGTTCACAAACTGCTGTGCCTGCCACGAAATCTGCACTTCGAGGTTCGCAAAAAAAATCTGCACTTCACGGAGCGAATTAGCCAGGGAAGAATGAGAGCACCTCGATCAAAGAACGGCCTCAACCACTAGCATAGGAACACCTAGTGCGACCACACGAAAGAAGGCTCTTTACAACAAAACCAAAATTCAACAAAATTGTTTATCTCTGTCCAAAGGGCATTGTGTCACCTTGCAAACCTGCGAGATGTTTGTCAAAGCATATCATCGAAACACATAAAGCGCTCGATTTCATGAAAACATCAAGATCGTCAAGTGCAGTCGCATGTCACGCAAGCTGTCCTGCTGCCAGATCTCCACCTACAGTTACTCTGACAAAGCGACAAATCTGGTTGAGAGGTTGTTAAAAAGGAAACGGCTAAAGTGCCTGATTTGTCTTGACTTGTCCGGGCACGCTCCATATGCCAACGGAGTTCGGAGAAGCGATGATAAACCTTTCATTGGATGGGCAAGAAATTGAAAGACATAAAAAAATTTTATGTCACGATGTTCTCGCAGGTATCGTGGACCTTCTTGAAAGAGGGCTCTGCTAGAAAATTGCACCAGAGATGCACCATCTCATCCTTAGCCAACCAATCGCACTGCGATCAAAGCTGCCTAAGGCCCCCTACTGCCTTAGAGCCGCGCAAATGATTCTCTGAAGTCGACAACCACCTTTCAAGACCGCACGCGCAAGCCGAGAATACAGCGCTGCAAAGTGCGAAACATAAACCTTTGGAGAAATAACATGTGCTTCAATTGGTTCGGTACCTTTTTCTTGCCATCACCTAGCTCTAGCTTTGGACCTGCCCAGCAGGTTCAAAACCAACATCTGGATGTCTGGATGCACAAATGACTGAAATGTCGAAGGAGAAGAAGACCGGCTTCATCAGGCGGAAGTTCTGCCTCCATAAATTGAAAGGTAGCAAGGCCTGGCTAGGTCGAATCAAGAACGGCCAACAGCAAGCTTGGACTGAATGCTCTTGCGCTCGCCTCTTGTGGCTGTCCACCTCTGAGCAAATCAAGCCACAAACTATATTTGGATGTATGTAGATAGCAACCAGCTAGCTCACGTTTTATTGCTTTCCGCTTTAGGGGCATCAAAACGCATTGTATGTCATGAACTCCACAAAGCGCACGGCAGAGCACATGTTCTAGGGCATGGATATACGTCGGTGGAGTAGACGGCTGCAACCGGAAAACCTGCTGCCAGACCTTCTCGGAACCTAGCTCCTACCCTTCGTGAAAGGAAACGGAGCGCGCACGGACCTTTCCTCCTACATGGTTTGGGCCAGTGTGAACTCCGGTCAACTGGAACCGTGACATGTGCGCGAGGTGCTCAAAAAATCCTACCACCTCACCTAAAAGTTTCCTATCCACGTTCTCTGGCAGCTCACGTCTGCTGCAGTCACTCCAGACGCCTCCAGCACCCTCCAGAATCTCCACCAAACTGCGTGTGCTCTTGCTCTGGGTTGGCTTGTACCGTCTGTGGTATGAAACTCTGCAACATTAAGTTGTTGGGCTCATTCTCCCCTCACTCCCACAAGTCCAACTCAGGTCCAAGTCCAGATTGCCAAAAGACTTGCGTGAAGAAATAAACCTCTCGGATCTCCAACCAAATTCTGGGCCTACTCAATCTCTTCCTCTTCAGAAGTCCAAAGTTCCAACGAATTGGAACGCTCTGTACCAAAATCCAACGCACGCTCTTTTGCAATACCAAGTTTTTGCGATCGCATTGATCATCCGCGTCCTCACTTCCTCGTGTTCTTCTTTACCAACTTATCAAGGAAAGTGTCTTGCGTGAGTGAAGACCTCCGTCTTGCCCTCAACCATCATCTCCCTCGCCAGAAAAAGCAGGAACTCTTCCACTGACGTGTGAGACTTGTTTCACACGGCTGGAACTGCATTACCCATCAATGATTGCACTGATGAAAACTTCTCTCCTGCTCACAAAGCTCCTCCAGCACGCGCAAAAAACTCAGCCCCGCGTGAAGATAGAGCCAGCTTTTCTGAGACCTCGACCACGCTACAATAACAAGGCATCCGTCCAAGAGAACACCGCTGAAATTGCTTCGCGTTCTCTCGTTGCTGCTCCGGTCACTGGCCCAATCACTGTCTGAGAAGATTCCAAAACACCGGCCCTTCTAAACATTCGCTCTGACAGGAGTCCCTGTTTACTTGCTCGTACTTTAGGGTATGGAAGCAACAAGCCATATAGTTCTGTGTCCTTTTGAGGTAAAGGAACAGCCATTTGTCTTGCCTACCCGAAGGCGGTTCACTCCTGGTTGTCTTTTCAAGGCAAGGACACGCGCACCCAAACAAACCACCTTTCTGGCACCACCGAGTTCCAAACGTCTAGGTCGCTTACTCAACTCGGCCACTGACGACCCCTGTTAGCTGGTCTCCAAGTTAAGACTTCGCCTGATTGTTTGGGCGCGTAGGAATTCGGGCTCCTCATGGTCAGCTCTGCCACCAATCACCTCTACATTGCCATTGCGGTGCCAGGCCAACGGGTGCAACACATAACATCCGAGCATCAGCGTCAACACCAATGAGCGGACAGTCCACTCTGGCCATAACGCAAGTGGTTGGCTGGGGTGGGAACGTACCTTCACGGTGTCAAGGGCGCGCCTGCGCGAAAAAGTGGGCGCGCTAGACCTCAGGCCTTCGCGCTTGGGCTCTTCCTTGCAAAGTTGCTGCGCGACCAAGAACAGTCGTTGATGCTCAATCTTCTGCGTGGAACTCTTAGTTCAATCGCACACAGCCTCTGCTTCAAGCCTCCACGTCCAAGGCCAACGTATTCCGCTGCACCTCGCAGTATCACCCGAGCGTCTCCGGCCCACTTCTTCTGAAGACTTCTCTTATCTTGCACAAGTTGAAACTAGAAGGACACAAGAGGCTCCTCTTCAAATTGAAATGAGGCGTCTTTCACATTGACTCCGCCAGAAGTCACAGTCACTGCTCCAACAATGCGACAATGGCGCAACAGAAACTTACTTGTTCTTTTCTTGTGTGAGGGCTTTCTCAAAGTTCTTGCTCTCATAGTTGACAGGGCTCCCGTCTCCACTCGGTCTCCCAAGCTTTGAAACAGCAGTTTTCAAAAACAATGCAGGTTGATCGCCCTCTGAACCACCAAACGGTCACGTCGCCGTTGTTCTCCACTTCAGGAAGTTCGTTGCAGACCTCCTCAGGGGTGACTGACGCGTTCATGGAGCCAATCAAGGCTTAGGAACTCGTCTCAAAGGCGCTTCTAAAAATCAAGCTCGCCGAAGGGTTTTGAACTGAAGCCACAATGAAATCATTGTCAAAGCTTGAGCTTTAATCATTAATCTTCAAACTTCAAACACACATTCGATCTGGGCAACTGAACCTTTCGGGCTTGGCTCTAAGCCTCTCCCCCATCCCACAAGCGCCAATGCATTCCAGCCAGCGGTTGCTAGAGTGGGAAAATCGGTCAAAAGAGTGACCTGCTATACACCACCAGGTTTCCATGTCAGAGGGGGCGGTCAACAATCCCACTTGGCCCACAGAAACCATGGAAAACTAGCGATCAAAAACACTGCAAAGACCTATCCGAACCCTCCAAGTTCAGGGACACGGGCCACGCAAGAGTCGCCACAGGACAAAGGCAATAACAAAACCAAGGTAGCAGAAAGCAAGAAAGCCCCTCAAGGTTGAGAACCAAAGAGGCCAGCAAAAGAGGACAACACAAACTCGAGGCAAAGAAGCGTTCTCTCAACAAGGTCATTGTTCAAAAAGACGACATCTGCAAGCGGATGTAAGCAGCTTTCCTTTCTTGCCTTGCCCTTTCTTTCCTCGCTTGCCTTTCTGGCTCTCGCAGGCGCAGCACTTTGTGAACCTCCAAGCGCAGATTTCGTGGCAGGCACAACACTTTGCGAAACTCGAAGTGCAGATTTTGTGGCAGGCGCAGCACTTTGTGAACCTCAAAGCGCAGATTTCGTGGCACAACACTTTGTGAACCTCGAAGTGCAGATTTCGTGGCAGGCGCAGCACTTTGTGAACCTCGAAGTGCAGATTTTGTGGCAGGCACAGCACTTTGCGAACCTCGATGCGCAGATTTCGTGGCAGGCGCAGCACTTTGTGAACCTCCAAGCGCAGATTTCGTGGCAGGCACAACACTTTGCGAAACTCGAAGTGCAGATTTTGTGGCAGGCGCAGCACTTTGTGAACCTCGAAGCGCAGATTTCGTGGCACAACACTTTGTGAACCTCGAAGTGCAGATTTCGTGGCAGGCGCAGCACTTTGTGAACCTCGAAGTGCAGATTTTGTGGCAGGCGCAGCACTTTGCGAACCTCGAAGCGCAAATTTCGTGGCCAACACTTTGTGAACCTGAAAGTGCAGATTTCGTGGCAGGCACAGTACTGTGTGAACCTCAAAATGCAGATTTCGTGGCAGGCACAGCACTTTGCGAACCTCGAAGCGCAG